TTTGAGTCTAGTGCGCGTATCTGACATGCTTGGCTACGACCCGGACAGCAGACCTAGTCCGAGCGCGCGAGCAGAACAGAAACTCAAGCTTTGAGTTGGATGTTCTTATATTATGTCTTTTTTGGTCTTTCTAAGTTGTAATTGTTTACAGCCCTGCTGATATGTGTTGCTTTTCAGCTGACTTGATTTTAGGAAAGGCCTTCCTGCGCATATTGCAATCCTTGAGTCCTATGCTGCTGGCATCACCCTCAAGGAGAAGGATGAACTTTTGATTTTGGATCTGCTTCCAAACAGGCACATGGGGAAGTTGTCTTTTTGAAGTGCCCTTTTTTGATGACTTTGGTGAGCTAGAACCCAACTTGTTTCTCCACAATTCACACAGAAGAGATTTTGTAGGTGGTTGGAATTTGGCCGCGCCGTGGTGAAGATGAAGCAAGAGGGAAAGGCAACGAATTGGCGCTACATGGGGTTGATCCGGGAACAGCACAAAGACATGGTTCAACTTGTGGAAGAGTCCGTTTACACCGCCTGGGACTCGTCAAGCGCAGCTCCTCCCAAGATCCGGCCACGAGAGGAATCCGCAGACCCCACCTTGTGCATTCTACTATGGGAGAATGGTGCGCCAAAGCTTCCCAGCTCCATCTTGGAGAAGTTTCCTCGTGGAACGGATCAATACAACAAGATCATGGAGTATGAGAAGGACCTCAAGCGGCTTTGGCCAGCAGCAAATGATGCTGCTGCGCTGCCACGCACCACAACAGCGTCCAGGGCTCCCAGTCGAGCTGCCGGTGTGCCAGACTTCTCCGGAACCAGGCTTTTGGATTTGAACCGCGAGGTGGACCTGGTCACGATCCCGTCAGCGAGCTTCTCAGAAGAACGGTGCCACAGCTGCGTTCAGTGTTTAAACATTTTAATTTTGTTTTGATGTGTCTTGTAGTACCAAGGTTTGACAATGATTGACAATGATTCTATTTTTTGATTCCATGCAGGCTTGCACTATGCCCTGTGAAACCAGGGAAACCTTCCATTGTGATCTCCAAGTCCTTCGGAATCTTCCTTGGCAACTTGTCTGCTGATGAGCTTGTGGTTCCAGCCGGCGAGCTCTTTGGCTTCAACGTTGGTGCGTTTCAAATGCAGATCATTCGCGGCTGCTCGAAGTATTTGGCTGACCAATGTTTTTCTTTTAGGTATGGGGAATTACGTGGAGCTGGCTCAGGCTAGATTCTATGCCTATGTATTGTATGGTGTTTTGGCGTTCTAAGGTACTGGACAGCACGAAACTGCTTTGCTCCCATGGCGCTTGGAGAGTGATATGACGTTGGTCTCGTATGAGAAGGAATGCATGCCGCTCTGCAGCTTCCTTTGCAAAATGGCGAAAGAGAAGGGCATTGCTGAGTTCGCGGTGTGGGACCACGAGATTGAACCGCTTATGCAGACCGTTTCTTTCCAAAGATTCTGAAGTAAAGTTTGAAGATTTTGGAAGTTGAAATAATTGTTATCGGCAGTTCAATTTGTTTCTGACATCACCCAAGGTTACTGAGGATGGCAAAGAGGTCAGCATGCCAGTGCCCTACCGTTACAATGTGCGCTCCACGGAGTCGCTCAAGTGCAACTGCTTCAAACCCAATCCGCTGGGCTCCACTGATGCCGAAAACCATAAAGCGGGAAGTTTGGGCGCCGTATTCAGCGGCAACATGAATCATGTGCTCAGGCAGGAAAACTGCAAGCATGCTGCCTTGGTTTGGGAGGTGCCTGTGACCAATTGCAATGCTTAGTATAAAGTTGATTTTTGGTTGACGTGTGATGTTATGTTATATAGATCATTGATCTGGGTTTCTTGATACGGTGCTATTTTGTGTTATTATGTTCGATGGGTGATTTGAGGTTCAGATCCAGACTGGTGGCTCAACGCCGAAAGTCATCCCGGCGAAGCCAAAGTTCTACCTGACCGCCCAAGTTCGTGTGCCGCCTTCCACGTTCGTCAAGCTTTGAGTGAGGCCTTGGTGGTCACCATGCTTAGCAAAGCCGCCGTCGGCTGACAGCCTGGCAAGTTTTGATGATTAAGCTCGCAGGGCCAGAAATTTGGGATGGCCAAGTTTGAAAAGGCAAGCCCCGCGAAATTGTTGCTTTTGAGCCCTGGCCAAAGAAGGGTCACGTTTGTAGAAAGCTGGGCCGATCTTAGTTTTTCAATAGTCTTGACAATTGATTTTTGTAGCTTAGGGATGTCCGTGAAGAAGGTATCTTTTTGTTATTAGGTCCAGGTCCTGGCTTTTGTTTTGGCTTCCAAATGAAGCTTTCGGAAGCAAGTCAATATGATGAGGAGAATCCTCGCATTCGCATTGCTGGCAGTTCAAGAAGTAAACCTACAGCGGAAAACAATCAGAGATTCTGCTAAGTAGTCGGCTTAGAAACACTGTGCAAACAGTGGTGATAGAATGAATGCGCCGGCTTATCTTTTCAGCCTTTAAGTCGGAAGTGGAGAGTAACGGAAAGTTAGCCTCGAGATCCTGCGACGCATCATGGCTAACGACGGGGTGCTGCCCAACATTTCCAAGCTGAGTTCTGAGGAAGAGGACCCCATTTTTGAAGGGCTCACGTAGCTTTTTCTCTAAACAGCATTGCAATAGAAGTTGCTGTAACAATATTTTCAGAAGCGGCGCAAAACACAATTTTTATCTGTCTATTTGTGTTTGGCGTTAGGATGGTGGAGCTGGAGCATCAGTCAAACAACACGCAAAGCCCAAAGCAAAATCACAGCCTTCTCAGCCCGCAGCCAAAAAACAGCTCCCAAAGAAAAAGGTTGCCAAGGAATCTAAAGGGAACACAACCCCGCCCCCAGTTGAACATGTGAGCCGTGAGAAATCAGAACCCAAAGCAAAGGCGAAGGCCAAGTCAATTCTGAAACCAACTTCCAAGGGCCAAGCAAAGGCCAAGGCCAAAACCATGCCAGCAGCCAACAGCATGAAGCGCCCAGCTGCAGCAGCTCCCTCATCACCCAAGAAGTCCCGGGCATCAGAGCTGGAAGGCCTTGTTTTGCATCCTTCATTCTGAATCTCATTTGTTTAAGACAGTGCAGTTCGAACTTAACCCAGCAGGCTCCTCCACTGCTCAAGGGCAGACCGTTTCCGCGGTCTACTACTACAAGTCCAGCAACATTTTTGGGATCAAGGTTGGTGGACAAGAGGTGATCAAAATTGGCGGCAAGTACCTTGACACGGCGCGCAGCAAGGATGCCTGCGTGTGGGGCCTAATCTTCTGTTTGATACGCCATGTCAGGGAACAATGGACCATATCAGTGATGGACATGTCAAAAAATAGCTATATGAGTCATATGACTGCTACTTTGGCCCTCGTCCAGTCACTGTTTCGAAGAGGTTTGTCAAGCTTCAAGTGTCTCATCTTTATGCTGACTGTTTTTCAATTGCTGACGAGGAGATTGTGCGACAACACCTTGTCGCTGGAAGTACGATCGCTTACTGCCAGGAACTGGCTGTGCTTTGCTCAGTAGATGGAGGTGAGATCCAAGGATTTTTTAATATAGTTCATTCAAATTTGAAGACCTTGTTCAAGGCCAGCTTGAAAGCCCAAGTGCCAGTTCATGAAACTAGCCAGCTTGGAGGAGGAAGTTCAGGACCGGCCCGCATGTTCCGAGGCCCTTTTTGTCAAGTTGAACACTTACCTATATAGCGTTGCCAGGCTCAAAGTCTGGCAAGAAGGACGCAACTGCTGCTCCAAAAAAGGCCGCTGAGCCTGCCCATGCTGAGGCTGCGAAGCCTGACGATGTGCCTGAAGACATGGAGCCAGAGGGAGGCGAAGAGGAAACACCAGAGGTGGATTGCGAGGAGATGGCTGTAGAGTCTGTAGACTAGATTTGTCAGCCTGGCAGACCACAATGATGGCTTGGCGCGGATGCTGTGAAAAGTTCTGAGAGTTGTGGAGCACTTGGGGCCTAAACGGCATTTTTATGATAGAACGTACGAGTTTCCCAAAAACAACTGGCCGCAGGGCAGGGGCAAGTGTTTTGTGGTTGGGGGTGCTGACCATGAGACTAAGTACTTTTAGCTGGGTTGTAAGATTTGGGAATGGCAGGGGTTTGAAGGCGCCTTCAAGTTGCATTTGTTTATTGAACACGCTCTCCGTGTGTGTGTGTGTGTGTTTGTTTTTTGGGTGAAAGGTAATTGTATTACAGATTGAACAAAGCTTATTATATCGATGGGATGCCGTTTAGAGGACACATATCGAAAAATGAACATTAGGAAGGGTTGCGCCCTTTTGCACAAACATGCAAAAATATGGTCAATAAATAACGACAATTTTGTGATAGGGGCTCAAGGCTGACGAGTTCTGGCCGCATGGGTGATACTGTTGGATTTGTGCAACCCCTGGCGGAGATGGCCATGAATGTCCAACAAGTTGTTTGGCAGCCCAAAGCTGCTTCACTGCTTCATCATGTCACCTTGTAAGCCAACCGCCAGGTATACATGCCTGGAGGCAAGAAAATGTCTATTACCCCAAAAATTATATGACCGAAAGCAGCCACATGGCTTTCAAATTTGGATGGGGGACCAGCCACGATCTCACCCGTCACATTTTAAAATGTGATGTCTCGAGCCAGCTAGGTGGCATGTCTCAAGCCAGCTAGGTGGCAAGACCACAAGTTCCTCAACCCACATAACACATTTAAGCTGCTGTCTCAACCCACTAGGTGGCAAGGCTCCAAGTTCCTCAAAGCACATAACAGACTTAAGCTGCTGTCTCAAGCCAGCTTGGTGGCAAGACCCCAAGTTCCTCAAAGCACATAACAGACTGACACCGCAAGACCCCCATTCACTTTGGGACCCCCTTTTCAAAGAAAAGCCTTTCAAGGCGATCTCGCCCCTGCGGAGGAGGAGCCTGAAGAGTTCGTGCCACCCGAAACCCTAATTGCCCAGGCATCATCTACACCCAATAGTCCTCCCCTATCCACTAATAACCTGTTTGATCCACTTGGTGAAGACGAGGAGTCCTCCGCTGAGGACGCTGTGGAAGAAGGGATTGCGCAACGCATCCAAGAGCAGTACGACTTGGAGGCAGCGCTGGAGGAGTCAGCCCGGATCGCAGGCGTCGAGCCGGAACCGGCTGACTTGGGTGTCGGTGAAGCCGCTGCCATTGGCGCGGGAAAGGGGGAGAGAGACCGCACCCGTAGGAGGGGGTGCCGTGCCGGCGCCAAACACGTCGCGGGCCGTGAAAACCTCTCCTATGGGCAGACGTGTGAATACATCCGTGCACAGCTCGGTGATTCCACTTATGCGCGGTTCGGCCGCCGCTTCAATCTCCCTCACATTCCCCCACAAGTGGCCCGCAAGCAGTACCCAGAGTGGTTCGGATATGTTCTTCGACATTCTGAGAGGTGGGCGTCTGATGCAGAGGGAGAGCTTTTGCCAGTGGACACCATCACTCGATGGGCGACCATCCTGCCTGAGCTGTGGCAGTTCCTCTATTCGATCGACTCCACTTTGCTGCAAGGTATCCCACAGCCGAAATACAGACTGCCTAGGGGTTATTGGAGCTCAGACCACCCGTTTGTGCCGCTCCGCCATGTGCGCTCGACTGACACTAAAGTCGCCCCTCCAAGAACAGTCTTTAATTCTGGTTCGACTGCTTCCTCTTCGGCCGCACCGCCCCGCACCGATCGATCTCGCTCTGCTGCCCCTAAGGCCACTTCGGGATCATCCTCCGCGGTCAGTGCAGCGATAGCCACGGCTCCTTGGCGTCCCACGCTTGACCGTGGGCATGTCCCGATCGTCTTGACACCTCGTTCGCAGGTAGAAGCAAAGGCCACCAAGGCCAGTGCCGGAAAGTCAGTGACAAAAGGGATTGAAACAAAGCCAAAGTCTGTAGCCGCAGGGCCGAAGTCTAAGCCAGCCGCAGCCTCTGGCGCGGGCGCCTCGCATTCGTCCAGTAGCCTACCTGTCCCACCTAGTCCACCCCCAAAGGTCCCGCCGGTCCCGTCACCGCAGGCCAAAGGGTCGACTCAAGTCAAAGCTGGGGCTACGTTTGTTGAGGTTCCCAAGCCATCATTGCCTATTCGACTTCCACCTCCGCCGAAGGGTCCTGCACCAAGTCTTCCGACAGCAGCTGACCATCAGGGGGGGCATCAGTCTGTCGTCCCACTCGAGCCACCTCCGTCCATCCCATATGGTGACACAGAACCGCTTGATGCTCCGGGTCCTAATGAATATAGCTACCGTGGCCCACTTAAGCCAATGATCCCAAAGTGGACACGCAGCAATCCCGAGCAGATTCCGGTTCTTCGACCTGTCAAAGCAGTTCCCCCTGTTCCTCCCGATGCTGACCAGCTTGTCATGAGCGCCTTGCAGCAGCAAGACGCCAACCTCGAGACACTAAATAATAAAGTCGTGCATGCCAAGGCCCACGCGTCCAGTGCGTTGGGCGGAGCAGCGCTTCGTGGTGAGCTCGGGCAAGTGTTGTCACACGTGAGGCCAGAGAACACAGCAGAGGAAGAGGAGGACGTCGTGGTTGAGGAGGAGGAGGAAGAAGAGGGCCAAGGGGCTGCCTCTCCTGAGGCGCCCGAGTCCGAGCAAGATCAGCCAACGACGAGTGCAAAGGCCGCTGCCTCAGGCGCGGAGCCAGTCCGTCCGGTCATCATGACCCCGGGTCCTGGTGCCTTCATCCATCGGCACTTAACACCGTTTCCCCTTCGTAGGACTCAATGGGACCGCGAACACGAACCATCGGTGCCACTTGAAGACGCCCAAGACCGGGTCTACGACTTAGACTGGTCAAGCACCCCGCAGGCCGAGGGCGATCACCTACTGCCCTCTTCGTCCACCATTCATGTTAGTGCAAATGCTGACCTATATGAACTAGATGCCGAAGACTCAGATAACTCTGACCCTGAGGCCCGTTCACGTCGCATCCGCAATCTTGAAGGTAGGACTGAAGATGCCGGTTGGCTCCCGTGGTTGGAGGGCCATCGTCCTAAGACCAGTCAGCCAAGTCACCCAAAGCCGAAGTTGGCCGAGCCAGCATCTAAGCGTGTTCGGGTAATTCTAACACCCGATGCACTAAAGAGGGCGCCACCCATAACGCCCCCACATGTTCGACAAATAATCATAGTCCCTAAGAATAAGCCAAAGGGTGCCTCAGTAGCCGCAGGTCCTAGGGTCCCATTGCATGAACCTCAGTTGTCAACAGCCACTGAGACGGTGTTCGTGCCATCCCATCCACCTCAGCCGCCGCCTCAGGCGCGGGAGGCAGCACAAGCCAGCGCTACACCAATTGCACCCCCGGTGTCTCAGCCGCCTGTCGCCAAAGCGTCCGGGTCCCAGAGCACGCCACCTCCGGTGGTATCGATCGAGTCATCGTCGGCGTCTCCGCCACCAGCGAGACCGCCTTCGAAAGCACGCCCGGTCCGCTCAAGGTCTCCTCCTACCAAGGTCAAACCACCCCCGCCGGAGGCGAGGCAATTGTCTGCCGAAGCCAAGCGGCGAGCGTTCGAAGCATTTGAGGGGCGTAACAGACCCGTGCACGTCGAGACAGACAGCGCAGGCAAGCCGCTGCCAGCTGGTGCTCGTGTACCAGTAGGCGCGGGCATCACGGCTGCAGCCCCGTCCGATCCAACCCCACCTGGGGGCGGTGACGACGACCAAGGCGAGCCATCGACACCGAGAACCCCTAAGACACCCCCAAAGCCCAGATCACCTGATCGACCTCCTAGCCAGCATGCCGCATCGGGGCTTCCCTACAAGACCCCGCCAGGCTCGTTGACCGGAAGATCAGCTTCGTGGGAACGGGACCCAAGACGGCAACCAGGGCCGGCTCCTCCAAGGCCTGTAACACCGAAGAGGAAGCCCCCTCCACCTAATCCTTATCCATATCCGTATGGTAAGCCTGCAGGTGTGCCGTCAGTCCCCCATGACACGGCATGGGCTTCGCAAGCTGCCTCATCGACAGCTGCACCTAACGTCTTGGACAATTCGTGGTGGGTACCAAAGGCTGCTTCACGCGCCGATAGTCACGAGGAGCCGCCATCTGGTGGAAGGCTTGCCCCACACAGGCCACCCTCCGGCAGCCCTGCCTCAGACACGCCTCGAAGTGTCCATCCTACCACAAGATACCAACCGAACCCGTTGCCCCGGTTGTTTGGGCAACAGGGCAAACCCGCATACCCTAGTCCCTCCTCAAGCGGGCGTCTTTGAAGTTGGCCTCGACCGGCATAAGGTACTAGATACCATGCTGTCTCCGGTGCGTACACCAACCAACCTCCTCACAGACCGCCTTAAACAGCTTGAATCGCTTCCTGCCCGAATAACAATCATCTCCTTCACGGGCGCGGGAGACCGCTACGACTCGACCATCCAGGAGATAGATTCGTTTAGAGACCAGTGCCGCGCGTCCGGCTGCCAGATGGGTGGCGGCTTCTACCTTACGAATGAGAAGACGGGACGCGGAGGAAAAGCCGAGCTCGTGAGCCGGCTCAGGATCCGAGCGTTTGTGGATGATCGAGCTGACATCCTTGCAGAGATCCGACGCACTGGTTGCTTCGCGATGGGCTACCAAGCCCGGGACTACCCTACGGAACCTAGTGGAGCCATACAGGTGTTAACCGACTATATTTGGTCGCACCTTGCCCACTGGGATGCACATCATCCCCTACAAGCCTTCGTATTGCAACAATACTCAGGCCAGGGCGGGCGCGGCGGTGGACGCCGCCGCCGATGAGTGCACATGCTAGCCGCTGCTCTACGCGCGGGCCCTTTCGTTGTTCGTTAGGGTAGGCATGTTCCAGGGTGCATTCATGGGTATGTGGTCATGCATCAACTAGTCATACCATAACTTTCAACTTAATTGTTGTTGTTTTGGTTTCATTCCAATGCACTCATGCCGCTGCCCAATGGCGCGGAAGTCCTGCCGCTGAAAGCGCGGGCCTGGGCAAAGACCCTTTCGTTTCGTGCATGCAAAAGTTTGCTGGCACGCCTGGGAAGGATGGCGAACCACACAGGTATCACACCTCCTTCGGACCCCTCCTCCGCCGGTCGGTCTCGTTCGTCACCTGAGTTCGAAACGGCCCCAAGCAGAGGTAGGGTCCCGGCCGCATCGGTCACCATCACCACCAGAACCCGGGGTACGCGACAGAATCGCGTCGAGCCCCGCCCTGGTCCCAGGACAATGGCGGAAGAGTCGCCTTCATCGGAAGAGCCCAGGCGGCATCGTGGCGTGAGTGCACGGGGCAGGGAGCTGTTGGACAGGGGGGCACCTAGTAGTTCTAGTCAACGACCGGTACCCTTCATATCACTAGCCTCTGTTCCTAAGCCGTCCCAACCTTACATACATAATCCTATAGACCCCAATATGCCGGCAGCTGCTTTTGTAGCCGGAGCAGCAATACAAGAGGCTAACCAAGCGGCACACATAGCCCATCATGCTGCATCGATGGCTGAACAACAAGCCATCGAAGCAATGAGAGCTAGACATTTAGCGGCCCAAGCCGAAGAACATGCGACACAGGTCCAGTCCCAGGCTCAATCCGTTGTCCATGAGACTCGCCAACAGGCTGAGAACATGGTAGGACAGGCTAAGGTTCAAGCTGAGGCTATGGTCGGTCATGTTAGGGCACAAGCCGAACAGTACGTTCAATCCCAACAACATGAACATGTTCAGCGCCAACGTCAACTTGAGCAACAAGCTCATCAGTGGGCGTCCGGCGTGGAAGCCGCATAGCGTGCCCATGTAGACCAAGTAAACACAAACGCGACTGCCGAACTCATTGAACTCCAAAGGCAGAACGCGTACCTCACACAGCAACTGGCCGCGAGATCGCCGGTACCAAGCTCCCCAAAGGAGCCACCGATCTCACCGGCGCCCTCAACACAACCCCTTCACAGTGTCCGTTCGACATTGAGCCACCAAGTAGAAGGCTCCGAGTTCGCTGCGCCTTTCCAGGCGGCCCAGCACAGTAATGTGCCAACGACGGCTCAAGTCGTCGATATGCGGATTCCGAAGAGTTTTCATCACATGGCCCCGCAAGAATTTTATGTCGGAACGCCAGTCGGCACACCTCACGGTGGAGCCACACCTGTGTTACGGGACTCAGTGTATGTTGCTGCTCTCGAGCGTGAACTTGGTCAAACGAGAGAGATGTTAAACCAGGTGTTGTCATTAGTACAGACCGGACATCCTCCCGTACCACCACCGCCTGAGCATGGGGTTCCCATGCCGTTTCGCATGACACCAGCACCACCACCAGGTCTGATGACTGAGGTCCCAAGTGCATGTCCGAAACCTTGTGCCTGCGCGCCGATGCCGGCTGGATACCCAAACCCCATGGCAAACGTTGCAGCGTCATCGACGCAACCTCCTCCACCACAACCAGGAGCAAGGGTCTTACCACCTTCCTTCCCCGTCTTTGAGCGGACCAAGAAAGAGGACGGTGGTGGCTCCCCAAGTTCATCATCTTCGTCTAGCGACAGTGAAGTAGAGGACTTGTGCAGGATGTGTGGGGGCAAGCATCGGGAGATTAGGTGTCCACACCTCACAATGAATAAAGAGGATCGTAAGGTAGAATCAACCCCGACAGCTAGTTCGGAAATCACCGACTATGCAGAACATGAGTCCGAGATTGTTTATGTCAAGGGCTTGTCGAACCTGATCCTACCCAATATACCAGTTGATTCGGGTCAAGCACGGGGATACATCAACCAGGTTCTCATGAACATCGGTTCGTTGCAAAAGACCCCAGGTTCAGAC